TTTAGCAAAGGGGCAGAAAAGGGCAGAAAAAGCCAACACAGCTGCATGCAGTGAGATCACCACATTTATCTCACTGGGTCCGAATTCTGTTACTATAGTCACCTCCCTTCTGTGCAATGTTTTCCAGATTTCAACAATCAAGTCAGACTCAAAATTATTTGTAAAAGTTATGAAATCCTTCAGCTACCCAATTACAGTTGAACATTTAACATTACAATCTGGATTCCACAATAAAATATACACATACTTTGGTGTGGCTACTCTTCCTAATGGACTGTCGAGTCCTATAATCAATGTGATGAGAACCAGAGATGAAACTAAATACAACCTGAAAAGAATTAACTCAAGTCCTCTTGACCTCACAGCATCAGTAACAAAGGTAATCAGCTACTGGAAAACTCACCAAGCATGTATATTTTCAGATCCTTAGCCTTTAAATTCAAAGCTGGATGATTCTCCAATAATTATCCTTTTTATAATCCAGAGTTATAAGCCTTAAACTGGAACATGCCATATTTCTTCGGTAGTTTTAACATCAGCTATAACAATGACTTTAAAGTCTATGAAGTGTATTTGATCCCCCCCCCCCCATCCATTTTTAATACTAGCAATACAAGCAATCTTTTCCTTTAAAATTGTTGTTGAATAGATCTGGGGAAACTTTCCAAATAAAAACCTGCTTATTCAGAAGTGCCTAAAATGTCATTAATTCATGGAACTTCAGTATATAGCGAAGTCCAGTACGTATCAAACTTCAAAGTAAGAAACAAATACTGTAAAATATTTTAAAATACAGATTTCAAGTTATTCAGACAGCTCAAATAATTCACCAGATGGTCTCAGTGAAAAAAGTGATTTTAAAAGAAATCTTCATCACCTGTTGCTAAACATTTTCATTTGCTTTCATGGGAAAGCATTTGTACTCCAAGAAAACCTGGATTTAACTTTGCAAAAGTAGCCACCGTCCTGGAAGCTGTGCCCAACTAGTCCACATTTTATCTGCACATAATACTCCAAAAGATGTTGTCAGACAGACTAGTATGACAGCAGGTTGATGGATATGCATATTAAAAAAAGCTTTAACAGTTCAGGGAAAGTAATTCTTTACCAGGTATTTCCAGAAGCTACAGTAATTTTTAATTTTGGACTTTTGCTCTACAAATATGAGAGAAATAAGAGTACTGAATTATTTCATTTTGCTAAGAAAGTTTCTGAAGCTCCTGCAACCAAACACTCTTTTCTCTCTCAGTATATGCATATGTGTATACACACACAAATATATACGCGTAGATATACACTCACATCCTCCCATGATGTGACAATGACTGAAAGCGTGGAAGTTACTTCTTTCCTAGTATTTGAGATCTAAGATATTTTTTAACAAGTCCAAGTCACCATTTAATATCTGATGCCCTCTTGTGGCTCCAAACAAACACCCCAGGTACAAATTTATTTTGCAGCAAAAGCAATTAATTAGAAACAATAAAAAGCAAAAAAATAGTATGAATCTTGTACAGAAATGGAGCCACATTCATAAATAACAGATGGGAACTGGAATATCTAATTTTATAGTACAGTTTATGCCTTTGTTTAGGAGGAAGGATGAGTATGAAGAAAAACAAGCATAGAAAAAAAAAGATAAGGAAGGAAATACAGAAAATGCCTGACAGCAGAATTGGAGAAATACAATTTAAGTGTTTTGCGACACAAAAATTAATATTTTTCCAAGTTATTTCCAAAAATCTGGAATTGCAACCCATGTTATGTGGAAATCCCCAAAAGCTGGGTAGCAAAGAAAAAATCTGAGCAACTTATCCCTTAAGTGGATGTCTGCCTGAAACACTGCTGCACTGAGAAAAGCTTACCAGTATAAGTGGCAGTGGCATCAATACCTTTCGAGGTAAATACATTCTATCTGAGACTCACTACAGAGTTCAGTTACTGTGCTGTCAAAGCTGAATCACATTTACCTCTTGCTACCTGAAACGCAACTACAATGGTGCCCCATCTCCACTTATTTTTCTTTCTGAAAATAAAAATTAAGACTGGATATTAAAGTATTCATTACCTGGATAGATGGTACACTGTTCTCCCTCAACTTAGCTTTGAAAGAAGTAATTTATAGTCTTCTGAATTTTTTCTGTAACAAATAGACTAGAGTGACTTTTTTCTCAATAAATCTTTATAAAAATAGCAATTAGGATTCAGAAACGCCATTAAGCTCATGACCATTTAGAGACAAGGAAGAATATTTTGGCATTATACCAAATAACACATTCTAATGAAAAAGATGTTGCAGGTTTACAAGCTATACTTTCTATTAGTATTTTAACTTTAAATGAAGTGTTTTAGTCTTAGACTGAGGAGAATAAAGCAATATAAAAAAAACCAAACAAAAGCAGCCATGCCAGGAAACCCAAACAAATATACTAGTTTTCAATTAACATTATTCAGTGGCTCTCTCTTTAAAAAACAAACAAACAAAAACCCAAAACCAACCCCCCCCCCAATCATTTATATATCTGGTACTCTATTCCCACCACAGAAAACACCACCTTATTTTACTTGTAGCCTGCAGTCAATAGGGAATCTACACTTTTGACCCCACCCCACTCGAGCACATCAGCCATCGCATCTCAAGCCACGGGCTCTTTTAGAAGGTGAAGGATGACCTCCCTCAGCTTGAGCTATATCAGTCAGACTCAAGATGGTTTTAGTACCAGCAGTTCTGTTCCCTACATGCAAGAAGTGCTACTGGCAGCAGCAAGCAACGTGGGAAGCATCCAAATACTTCAGAAAACTACGTAACTCAGGCCGATGCCCAAGACAGTTCACCTATTGATGCCTTCCATAGCAGTTATCATTGCTCCCTCATTCTCCTTACTTTCCTTCTCCCTAATTGTTTTCTTCCAAATTAATAAGCACATTGGAAAGCAGACCAACATAATACATTTATGAGAGAGGACTCAAGAGTCTCAACAGGTAGAGCCTGAAGGGATGAGTGGGTGGAAAAAGGCCTGAAGAGCAAGTAAACTTGTCAGCTTGGGGTAGTCCCTCCCCCAGTATCTGTTTCTAACCACTGTATTATCTCTGTATTAGTACTGAAAATGCAAGTGTAATCCTAAAGTTTCTGGTCACTGTTCTCAAATCACACAGCAGTTCTTTGTCTGCCACACACAGTACAGATGCTGTATATACTGCAGAAAGGGTCACACACATACACACACAGACAGGGCAAGTTTCTAGTACAGCTGAAGCTACAATGCATAATTTTCTATTCCCCTTTCTATGCCCCTCCTAAATTAACAGATTTATTTTTTTGAAGAGGAATAGAAGTGAAAGAAGTGTGAGTATCCTTATAGGAATGGATGCATTTAGCAGTGGCATGTATCAGTGCATATGACTAACAACTGACATCCTCTGTTATCATAACCACTGTGAACACCGAGGGTAACCACACAGGTGGTATCTTTATTTCATAAGATTAAAGATACAGTACAAAATGAATCTGTACATCTTTCTATTAACAGAATTTGTTTACACAATTATATTACATTTGACCAGCCTTTATACTGATTTTAAATACAAAATAAATTTACAAAACTCCTACAAGACCCTTTAAAGAACTGTAGCTGGTAAAAACAAAGGGTTCCCCCCAATAGTCCCTATTTGCCATATGCATTTGCAGTAGTTCAAATCAAACTAAATCTTTTTAGTTTAATATTCTCTGAAACAAAAATAGAACTTCAGTTCATCGTTGCCTATCTAAAAAGGAAGCAACTTGCAAAGGTGAGTGTGATCCCCTTTTATAGGCCAAAACTAGCATATAATAGGTGGAAACTAGATAATGCATAGTCTTACAAGTCCTTTCACAATCCATGTTTTAATGTTCTTCTCCAAAAAGAATAACATTTGATAGTTTTTTGGTTTGTTTTTGGTTGGTTTTTTTTTTTTTACTTTAATAAGAGCAGCTGACTTATGGAAGATGACTAGAAAGTGAGTAAAACTGTCTCGCTGGAGTCTCAAAGGCCTTATCTTCTATTACATTATCCCATGATGAACAATATAAAGCAAGGGAAATTATTTCAACAGACAGCTCTGGGACAGGTTTCACCAGCGTGATGAACTAGAATCCTGTTTTATCAACACTTCAGCATTTCTTTCAATGAGCAAGAACAGCTAGTATGTTTGATTAATAACTTGAGATGCAGAACAATGTTTTCCCCCATATCTTTCCACAGTTTTCCTACATATAAAACTCCCACCGACAACAGTTACTGCTCTGTTGTTCCATTCTCCATGCAGGGAGAAAAGAGCACGTGTCCGGAAAGGTCACATAGGCAGATTTTGGCCTATGTTACTACAAAGAATACAATTTTTCCATTCAAAGCATGCTGAACATACCCAGAAAGGCTTCTCTTAAATCAAGTTTCTTCTAAAATACTCCTGCATATAAACTGTAAGACAACCTGTGTGCTACCAAAAGGGAATAGTACTTCATTGCAGTAAACTGAGCAACCCAGCTCCTTTAGGAAAAAAGCTGCTTGATAAACTGAGTGCACAAGAAACATATTGCTAGTAAGAGTTAAATATACTTCCCTCAAAATGCAAGTTTCAGAACAGAGTAGCAAGGGATTGTCACAAAAACTTAAGTCATGTTGTAGACAACTGATTTAGAAAACTTACTCATTTCTTTAATCCCTGAGTTAACTCATCATTACTTATGGTAAGTATCTTTTTACTACTACGACTTCATCCAAATGAATGTCATCTGAAAGAGTTAGCGGTAGTAATTTGGTGGAAGGGAAAAAAGCAGGAGAAAGACTTCCTTATTGCTTCTTCAAAAAGCAGTTCTTTAAAGTGAAATAACTTGCTGAACTTCAATCGTTTTCTTCTGCTGATTTCTTGGATGTAAAAATGCATCAGGTTCAGTGAAAGTCAGCTGTGAGATGGTCACATAGCAGCAATGCTGAGAGATTCTCATGCAAATAGGATAGAGCTTTTAGAATTTAGTTCTAATAGATCAAACAACCAAAACATTTACTAACACAGTAACAAAATTGTTAAACATTCTGAAAGACCAATACTAATGAACCAGTGGTATTTAACTGAAAAACATTTTCCATATAATCTTTAATTTATTCATGCCAAGCTAAAAAGAGCTATTAAGTGACAGAGGCAAAAATACTTCAGAGGGAGCGTTCAGAAGTCACAGATACCTTAGAAATGCAGCTGGGGAGTGCTGTACATTTTAGACACTACATTTAAGTTCAATACTGTTCCATCTGCTAATGGTGATTAAGACTGAACAAGACATTCCTCTATCACATGCTGCAACCCTCCAAACTAAAATCAAAGATTTGTCGTCACATAACCAGCATAAGCATTTTGAAGTACTGAGAAGTTCTACCTATATTTTAATACTAGTCATCCATGATATTTCAGTTTACAAAAGAGTGGATTGCTTATCTTCTTTCCCAAACTACAGATATATTGTGCAAGGGTCTCCTTACAAATGTACTAAGTATGAAACCATACCAAAATCTCAATGCTAAATAAAGCATATTGATATGTTGCTGCCAATCCACTGGAAAAAGATTTGCATGAAAGGAAGCCCTTAACCCTTTAAACACAACAGCTTTTGTCAGAAAGCAGCTAAAGCCTCCTCATTTGTATTTCATTCAGCTTTAGGACAGTATATTCAGAGGGTTTAATGCTAGTACAGAAACAAATATTTAATGGCCGTTGGTAAATAAGAACAGAAACTTCTGCATTTCTTGCATCTAAGCTATTCCCCCACTGCTTCCAAGCCCCAACCCCTGAAATTATAGTTCAAAGAACATCATTACTAAGCGAGGATTCCTCTTGCAGTCTAGAAACATCAGTCCACAGGTCGTATTCTTTACACTCATTAAAAGGCCTTTGCATTGACCTAGTGGTATCAAGAAGCCATAAACCATTAGTCGTCTTTCTCTTTGGATTTTCTTGTTACAAGGGATCCTCAAGATGGCACAGCCAGAGATGTTGTTTTGACTTTCCCATGTATGCCAGGTACAAAACAGGTTGGCAACAGCCAGCGCACTGCTGTAATCTAACATACAATTTTTATCAGTCAGCCAAACTTTGGAGTAGCATCACTGGCATAAGCCCATGCCCTTTTGCAGAGAATATGCATCTTTGGGGCCCTTTTTTGTAGATGAATTAAACAGATGAATGCATAAGATACCACACATACTTCCTTCTTGCAGTGCAGATCACTTACAGGATTGCTGAAAATTAAATACAGAATTCCCACCTCTAAAACAAAAAAACACCCCAAACCAAAAAAGTAAGCTAACTCACTGAGATTTCTGGCTCTGTCTTCAGTGTCCACAACAATACTGGTGCTTTCTGCAGCCTAGACTCAGCCTCTTTGTAAAAGCAAGTTTAAACAATTTAGGAACACTACCAATTTGTTTTTATGTCATGAAGTATTGCAAAGCACACAGGCTCCAAAAAAGTTTTAGAAGGATGTGAGATCTGGGCACTGCATGTATAGTTTTAAAGTGATGAGCTTTACAGACCCAATCTGTCCCAGTCTGCCTTCCTGGGCTACATACTGTCTGCTGAGAACTGTCTAGTCTAAGGGGAATAGAGGAAAATACTCAAAACAAAAAAGCACAAATGGAGAGTGGCATGTTTGCTGGCTTAGTTTTACAGAGTTTATAAATAATCCATGTTAAACCATCCAAGACAGCATAAAAGACCAAAGTGTAAGAAATATTAAGAAATAACAAAATAAGGACTGTAGAAATACTTGGGACGCAGATCAGAATATAAGTTCATACAGCTCTAGTCTTTTTAGAGTTTGAATATAGTTCAGCTTCTTGGATTTAAATTAGACATAAAATTATTATTATTATTTTTATATAGGGCAGCTGCTATCAAGCAGGCAAAAACCTTCCAATGCTAGCCTTCTGCTCTCTCTAGGAGATGAAAAGGACTCTGAATAAAGAGGAACTAGATACAGCAGGCAACATTTTTGTAGTAGCACTCTTGTGTTTCCATGAAAAAAGCCATAGTGTTATTCCATTGGCACTGAAATAACATTCAAATCAGTTTCAAAAGAATTTTCTTATCCCTGAAAAAAAGGCATCATTCTAAGCAGCTTTCAGACTTTTTTTTTTTTAAACCTCTTTGCGCCTCTTTTGGGGGAGGGACTGTTGATCCAAAGTCCTAAATCACAATGAAAATTGTTCCTTTAGGAAAAAATCCAGTTCTTTCACTGAGGCTCTTGTTGCTATTGCGGTGGTTGGTGCTCTGGTGGTGGTTCTTGTTGAGGCACAGCTGGCCGCAGTCCTGCTGGTCTGGGAATTGCCTGATGTTGCCTTTGTCTGTAAGCTATAATTGTTCCCAGAAGCAAGGCGATGATGGTCATAAGGTAAAGGTCCCACTCAGGCCCCAGCAGCTGGTCCATATCAATATGTGAGAATATCTCCCTTATCTAAGAAACAAGAAGTCCACATCATCATGACAAAGAGCAAGAATAGGAAGTTACTTTGATTTTAAATTTGACTTGTAACATTCTTCATGTACAAGTACCAGTTTTAAAACTTCAGTAGCTCTTTTCCTCTCTGAAAAAATAGTATCACATCAGTAACATCCTTCATTTCCAGGAACTAAATGTCAGTAAGACTAAGAGCCATGCTGTATAGGATGAGCTATTCTATTTTCTGTTCTAGAGATGAAGGTTCTTGACTCGTAGCTTTGTGGCTTTCACACACAGAGCATTAAAGTACACAATTTAAATCAGATTGAGGTATGTAGCTGTAGTAGTTCTCTTAAAGAAAGAGGAGCAACTACCACATACACAGAGGCAGTGAAATGATCAGTCCAGCCAAATTGGAAGCCAACAGCAGACTATCATGAATGACAGAACATTAAGCCCCAGGATGCTTATGTGGTACAATGCTGAGATTTGTGCAGATAAGGTATAGGGAAGTTAAAGTGACTTACTGTTAGTTTTGATTGAACCACCTTTTTATCAGACTTCCATGTGCATAAGGGTTAGCCAACACACGCTCTATGCTTTGCTACTGTATCTGATGGTACTACAGAGCCACTGTCAAGTTAAGTCTGCATCAGCAGACTTAAAACTTGGAATATCGATGTTCTGCATACTAGCTTCTGGAAGTGCTAGATGTGTATTTGCTCAATTGATTTAGAGTATTTTGACCATCCACTCCTGGAAGTCTCCAGTCTCAAGACTATTAAATTTTGTCAAACTTAGCTGGATTGTCTGAACTGCGTTTGCTCTAAGTGGTAATAACTTCCATACCATTTGCATTTATTAAGTAAGCCAAAAGGCAGTAAGATATCAAAATACTGAGAAATATTTCAGACACTATAGGAAAGACTTCACCTAAATTTCAGGGAAATATTTTCTTCAGTGCTGTCACTCAGCAGAAACTCTGCACAATAGCTAAACTATCTAATACAAATAATATATTTTTCCCCCAGAGAAATCAAACACAACTCAAGTGGAATTGTTACAGCTGAATATAAAATAGCATGAGAATTAGGCCTACAAAAGTGTTTCTTTTCTCCTGCACAGTGATTATGTCATTGTAATCATCTGCTTAACTTTGATAGCAGATGGTCATGGATAAGAACAAAAAGGTTACGGAAATTCTCTTCAAGGGAAGAGCTGAACAGAAGAGCACTGGCTGCGCACATCTCAGTTTCACACAATTGCACAAATAAGAAATAGGAATCACAGCTTCAGTAACTTCCTTAATATGCAACAACACAAAACGCATCTATCCTAAGTTTTCAAAAGGCTCAAGCAAGACTTCTACTTAACTAAAATTACAACTTAAGCTTCTCTTAAAAATGGAAAACACATTTGTTGTTTTTTCCTTTTAATTCTGCATTACTTACATTGATTTCTCGTACATACTGCAAGGAATAAATCACTCCAAGCTTGCAAAGTGCTAGGAAGACTGGAACCTGAGCATCTGGGCTTGCTTCAGCTGCCATGTCATAGAATCGTTTTGCAAGATGAATATCCTGAAATTAAGAAAATACAAAGCTCCATTTTGAAGAACTTGAGAAATTAACCATAAAATGTAAAGCTTTTTCTGTAAGCTGTTGTATACTGTCATTTGAATACAAGGGTTTTGGTCAAATTAAACAAAAACCATTCAGTAAAACTTCCCCTTTTTTCTGAGGGATGTTCACCTTTGAATAGACAAGTAAAGGGAAGCTTCGATCTGAGGACGAAGCTATTGTAACTGATGGTAGAATTGAAGCTCATGAAGAGATCAGTATTAACGTGTTCAACCCATACTTTGTAAACTAAGGCACGTATTTAGGTAACTCTAGTATTCCCTTAACATGTCCAACACCACACCAAACATGAAAGACTAAGAAAACACAAGTCACAGAGGAGTACGCAGCAGCAACTCCTCCCAGTTATACTACAGTATGCCTGCTGCATAGTGCAGCTTCTAACCATTTCTGCACATGTTCCCAAATTAAATTCTACTCCTTATCCAAAACAGACATAACTCGCATTAGTGAGGGCAGCCTGGCAAAAGCATGAGCACAAACAGTCAGTAACTTTAGGAAGAGCTTAAATTAGCTTTTTCTGTGATAGTTGGAACAAGAAGGCAACTGTAGCAAGAACAGAGCCTAGGTGTACCTGAATACTTTAACTTTCCTTGTTTGTTTGAGGGTTTTTTTGGCTCTGCTTCAGATACATACTGTGCAATGTTAGGATACGTGGATACAAACTGCCTATGTTCGCTCAGTGATGTGAAGGACAGGCCTGTGGAAGGACTTAACCTCTGGAAGTGTTCCAAGCTGGACACTTAAAAGAAGAGAAATCTCCAGGACTTCATGCCACATGTTCATTTTATAATTTTATCCTGATTGTGAAATACCATAAAGATTTTCTGCTCATTGATACAGCAAAGCTTAGTTCCATAACACATGTTGAAATAACAATATGAAAATCAACACATTATGTGAATGAGACATACTAGCTCACATTTTAGTTCAATAGAACAACTCTGAATACTCCTTGAGCCTGGGAAATCTGTCTTTTGTATAACTATTTAAAAGAGTTTCCTTACCTCCTTTGTACTGTGCTAGTATCAGTGTAGAAGCAGAACCTAAATCATGGTTTATTTTAATTTCTAATTAGCAAGCACGTCATTCTGCTTATGCATTCTCCATTCTCACTTGACAGAGAAGTGAGAACTGTACAAGTCTGAGCTTTAACACACAAATACCACTGAAATACTGTGCCAAATCTTAAGAGAAGACCATGAGAAAAATAATTTGTTCTTATTTTGTGCAGTATATGGAAACAGTCTTCATTCTGACATGCAGTCTCAGGAATTGGATAACATTAAAGCTATGAAAAGTCTGTAAAAGTGTACACATGTGAGATTTCTGAAGGGGATTAATATTTGGCCTTGACCTGGTATGAGTCTGAAAACCATCTATGTACAGGAACTATAGCATAGAATCCTCTATGTAAGAAAGACTATTTATTCAATAAGAGAGAATAAGCCAAAAGCTGTTTGGAAAAAAAAACCAACCCCAAACCAAAACGGTAAGAAATACTGTATTTATTCAGTATTATCCAGAACAAACAGCAACCTGAATTGAAGTTGTGCAGGCCATCTTATTGCATCATTCTCCCTAACTTTGGAGTGCTTACAATCTTAATGACGTAGACGGGGAGACAGTAAGAGTACACATCCCTTTCTTCAACAGACTAAATCCCCAATTCGTTAGATACTATAGTGCTAAAATCTTTATACATCCCTTCCACAGGCCTCTAATGGAAGAGCAGACTTCAGTGGTAGACATCCCCTGCTATATCAGGAGGAGTGATTTTAACTGTCAGTCACTTTCAGAGGTGCTCAAAATTCAGCAGTTTCCATTCTGGGAAAGGAAAGCCAAATATTCTTTGGCTTCATTCAAAACTCAGTCTTAGCTGTTTTCAGAACATCTTAGCCCAGCACCATTTTAGTCTTATCTAGTCAGTCCTAAATCTCCATCCTCTCATCTTAACAGTTGTAAAGTTTTAGGACACAGCAAGCAAAGACATTACATATCCAGAATTCCCAAGACTGGTTTTATACACAGAATTTTCTTGCTTAGACAGTCTCAGTGCTTCTTTCCCATATCTATATTAACTGTCTGCATTTCCCTTGCAGTTCAACTCTTCCTTCCATAGTGGATCTGTATGAGAGGAAGGTATTACTCATCTGCATGAAGCAAGGCTGCATATGCTTATCGTGAGCCCCTGTGTACTCATTTCAGCTGTCTACATGTAGCCATCTCTGCTTCTGGTTGGAGAATACTCTGTGCAAATGATAGCATTAGGACTTCTTTTTCTCCAATTCTTAGCAGTTATGCTGAATGTGATGTAATAACATTTTCAAAGTTTTTATTACTTGCTCTAAATTGGGTTGTTTTCAAGGCAGAAACAAAAGAAATAAAATAGTCCATGTCTGAAAGAATTTTTTTTTTTTTTTTGTAAAGAAAACCTCCCAACTTTAGCAGTGTTGCTTTTAGCTGCAGGCTTATTTTCAGAAGTTAACTTGTTTTGACGACTCAGTTAAAAAGAGAAAACAGTCCTAAAATAAAATTTGAATATAAGCTTTAGAAATAATGCTGTTTGTGTACCATATGTGTCACTTCTACAGCTAGGGCAGTAAGCAGTTTTCAAATGTTGATTGCTTGCTGCTCCCAAAGTAACAATATTGACCTAAGACCTGTCCTTCACTGTTGTGACCTTTTGCCAGAATTTAGGGCAAAAGAAGCAAAAATTGGTCTTTTAACAGACCAACAGAATAACTAAAAGGTGCATACATAAACAAAAACCAAGTGTTGAAGCTTACTGAAAATAAAGAAAATGAAACTATTTCTTACAGTTTCAGGTAACCCAGAAGGTATTACTAAATTCATACATTAATTGCATGAATTAATCACACATTAAGTTAAGGTAGGCTGCTCAAAATTAGTATGCAATTACTAATCCCATTATTTTGACACATACAAGAACATGTTGCTCTGGATTCCGTAAGTTTTAGTTAGCTCATGGACAGCAATACACCATAGGCTTCCTAAGAGAACCAGATATACCACCTTCTTTTAGGCAAGGTAGTTTGTAAAGCAAATTGTGGCCTAGCCTAATTTGAAAAGCCACAGCCACAGCTATTAACCACATTGTTGGTACTTATTGTTTGTTACTTGAAGATGCACAGAACTTGTTTTCAAAATGTCATGATATAGAAAACAAATTAAGCAGTGCTTCAGAGGATGAGAACAATCTTGTGCTAAGATACTCTGAACCTGGAATTGATTTGCATTCACTGCATTACCCTGCAAAGTCTTGAAAGCATTACTCAAGCATATGGCACTCTTCTTGCCAATCTTCACAATTTTGGTCAAATAGTGTTTTCCCTGCCTATGCCTCATTTCTTCACATAGGTAAGTGTGAAGTGGATATACTTATCCATTTGCTATTGGAGAATGTTTTGGGACACATGCTAATTCCTGCTAAGTAGTTATATAGTTCCCAAAGCCCAGTAGCGGTTATGAACTTAATCTACTATTAGTGAATGCACTGCAATGAAGCAGACTATCAGCCTACAGCTTACTCACCTGCTTAATGCCCAATCCCTTCTCATGCATGTAGCCCAGATTAAACATTGCTTGGGCACTGTGCTGTTGCTCTGATGCCAGTCGATAGTGAATAAATGCAGTTTCATAGTCAACATCAGTACCAAAACCATAAAAATGGTAATCTCCAAGTTTAATTCTTGCAACAGTATATCCTATAAATCAAGAAACAACAACAACAAAATAGCTAGGCAAAGAAAGCCTTTTAGTTTCCTATGAAGATGCAATAAGGGCTTTAGTATTACTTTCCACAGTTAGCACAAACTGTTTCCATTTTTCCCTCTCTCACATAAACAGCTTTTTTTTGTTTGTTGGTTTGATTTTTAACTTGTGCTTAGCTAACCAAAATGTAACCGATTTCTATTTTTGGGAAAGTCCTTTTCCCAGTAATCCTACCAACATTTTTATTGCTATTTAGTGGCATCAGTTGAAAAGCTGTATCGTGTTATTCATACTCACTTATTACAGAAAAACTTTTGTTATATGGTCATTAAGGGCTTCATCTTTTTTTAAAACAGAGACACTGAAAGCTTGAAAAATAAAGTCTCTCATCATCATTTGATAACTGAATACTTAGCCATTGCATCCTCTCAATTTCTAACTTTCTACTAAAAGCCAAGTAGGTCTGAAGCTTTTCAGACAAAACTCTTAGGCTCCATTTGCATGATACACTTGCTCTTAAATGAAAACCTAGTAGACAGACATTAATGTAGATGCACCCATATGAAAGTTAGAGACCTCACTCTGAGATATATAATGATTAAGTTTAGTACTGCTTGTTTTAGGACAGGATCATAAGCACCAGAGTTTAAACTTGTACTGGTTGGACATCAAGACTGCATTCTTCATCACTGAGCTTTGCCTACTTTGAATAAGAAATGCAGTTTCCTATAAACTATGACAAGTACCAAAATCCTAAAGGGTGCTTTGTGTCTATTTTTCCAAGTGGATTTATTTTTAGAAAAGTCAGTGTAAACATTCCTAATGCTGTTTAACACTGCTCTATAATTCCATATGGAATGGCAAAAGAAACACACTGTACATTTGTGTTTTAGTCCTTTTAATCTTCAGGATCTCAGAATGGCTCAGAACTGCAAGCGTATTGTAATGACATTATAGCTAACAGTGGAACAAAGAACAGCAACTATCCTATGTGGAACATAACTAATGTTGAACTGAAGGATGTAAGCCTTCCCTCCTTCCCCGTTTCATAACACACATGAAAACAAACTTTAATGGTTCTACTAAAAATAAACTGGAATTGTGAGGTATGGACATACCTTGAGAAGCTGCTCTATTCCAGTGAAGCAAAGCTCGAGGATAGGTTTCATTTTCTCCTACTATGCTAGCTTCTTCTAGAGAAGAAAGTAATTCAGTTATATAGGAGCATGGTATATGCACGCAAGACCACAAAAAAATCCAATGCTTATATTCAGTCTGCTGAAATGAATTAAAAACTTGATGTAATCTGTGCTATAGCACAAACAAGATTCAACCCATCTGAAACTTATAAAAACCCCTTTCATTTATATGGTCTTTCCGTGTATCTACCCATAGAGGCTAAGAACAAACTGTATCATTTCACCCTGAAATAGTGCTTACCAAGTTCCTCTCCCATTCCTGCTCTAGGAAATTCTGAAGCATACTTGAGGAATGCCAGAAGATGCAAGTCTTAAGAGCACACAATCCAGGCTCTGACAAAGATGCACTCAAATACAAGGCTAAAGTATAAGTTATTTTAGTTTGACCGTCTAAAAACCAAGACTAGTCAAGTAAAATGAAGGCTTAAACTACTTAACCAGCCAGAGACTGCATATTTTACACAGCAGTGCTACAGCTGCTTCAGAACAAAAGGTATTTTACTTGTCCATGTCACGAATTGAGGGTTGCTGAAGTATCAGAGTTCAGACAGTTCAAAGGATTTATAACTTTTCATTTCTAGTGTTAAATATGGCTTCAGCTATACTATCTCACAGTTGACATACAGATTTTCTGTATAAAATGTATAAATTAATTTTAAATTAATCTCCAGTCGAGATGCAGATATATCTGAGTAATGACAATCAGAATTTTAACCCAGGGAGAGATGCTATTTCTTTGCAACTCCCAGCTAAGAGTGTTATTGTTGTAGCTTATCTAAAGATGAGTCACTAAGGCACCTTTGAAAAATATTAACTGGAAATTAAGATGTTAGATTATCGTATCAGCCACCAATAGCTGATTTTTATATTAAGATACAAAGCCCTAAAGCTGGTAATGAGACCCTGAGATTTCTGGATTTGAGATCCAGAAAGCCTAAAACACTGGGTTTTGTAGTCTCCAGAAAGATTTGCCACTTGTACTTCTATTGTTTCCCTATGACCTCAAACTCTATGAAATCCAAATTCTACCCACCTAGTTGCAGTAAGAGACCCGGAACAAGTTTTTTCAAACCTAACAGAACCAACTGTCCAGCTCTTCATCCCTGCTTCAAAAGTTGTATGAGTAAAGTTACAAAATAATATGGGGAAAGAAAGAGTACTGAGAAAAGACATTACAAGGTAAAGAACAAAGGAAACTGAAGCTTGTATGCATAGTAAAGGCCAAAGGTAAAACTAATGCAATTCCTACTTTATAGATTTAAAAATAAAATGTTAAGGCTGTGTTTAAGAAGTCCAGGGAAGAGAATTTTCAGCACTGTGCCAGTTTCTAAAGCATTCTTTCCCCATCACATTTTCAAATCCCTTAAGTCAGAATTTAAGTGCATTCTAACTTTTAGGCCAGAAAGCTATCCCGAGAGATGAAAATTAAAACTGCCTGCTTTCCAGTCAGAAGAGCAGAAAGAGGACAAGAGTCTCACTGAAGTTCTAACTGAACAAGAGCTATGTAATTACATCTTCAAGCACTCTAGCGTTCTACTAAATGGGCTACTGCAGGCCAACTCCAAAAAAAGTCTTTCAGTACAAATTCAGGTTCTTACTCTGATCAAGTATGAAAGCAGCATTGCTTTGTGCAACTTCATAGCCTTGTTCTGCCAGAAGAAGGTATTGAACCACAGCAGAATTTGAATCACCATCTTTATAGCTGTTGTATGCAGTCATCAGTCTTTCAGACCAACGCCCCCGTTCACATACATTCTTAAACAGCTGCAGAGGCAAAAAAAGGCAGAGAAGACTGGTTGTCAGGAACTTCAGAAATTTAGGTTTTGCAAGAGGTAAACCTTTAACATTCAAATGCCTGTTCAAAACATTTACATTCCACAGGAGAAACTTGATAGACAAACTCACTGCTTAAGACAGGCTTACTTTAAGATACAGGTTACTAAGCAAATACATGTCAAGATTCAGATGCTTACTCAGAATTATTCTTAGTATCACCTTTTTGTTATGCTTAAACCCATGTCTAAATGAAGAACTCAGTAATTATAAAATGCTGGTTTGCTTTGTATTACATTCCTTTGATTTTCTTCAAAGTTAATAAAGCAAATATATGCACTTGCCATATCAACATAAAAAAAAAAATATTTTTCTCATGAGATACAAAGGAGTTTGAGAATCTATCACTTTTCCTTTTGATAGCCTTGGCTTTCACCAGTGGATTTTAGCTAAGACAAATTTCCTATGTAAGCTGACATGGTTATATCCAACCTTTCCCAAGTCAGTATTATTTGACCTTTATAAATGGATGACCTTACCTCAACAGCAGTATGACAGGATCGCATCACTCCAGTGCCAGTAGCATGCATCTGAGCCAGATTATAAAAAGCCAGAATGTGGCCACCCTGGGAGGCCAAGTTAAAATATTTCAAAGCTTGTTTATAGTCTCTCTTGACTCCAATGCCATCTAAAAGAAAGAGTAAGTCATCGCTATTCATTCCTCTTGAAAAGCAGAGTTGTATGAAATACAGTATGTACTTATTCCTTGAAGTTATTAAAGAAAAAAGTTGTGGAAGTGTTAGGAAAAAACAGAATAAAATATAAATTCAATGCAGTAAGACCACTCTACATGCATTATATATACACTTCTAATGCCACCTAGTGAACAGTTACTGAAAGGGCAGATGCTTAGACTTCGCAAATCATCATTTTGATGACACTTACTGTAATACATGGAACCTAGTTGAAGTTGTCCATCAACCCATCCCTGTTCTGCAGCCTTCTGGAAATACTTCAGCGCTAGCTCATAGTTCTGCAGAAAAATTTGGTCAAGTCACTAGAGCAATACACCACAATTTAAGTAAAGAAAGAAAATATGTGTGTGTGCATGTGTAAGTGTAAGGACAGATCTATATTACAGAAAAATTAGTGAGATTTCTAGCATGAAAATACTCACCTGGTCAAAATCTGGAAACAAAAAACAAAATTGCCTACAATGATATTAGCATGTCTGAAGTCTATAGCTATCTCAAAGCTGGCATCCACACATAGCATTGCTATGAACAGTTATGCTTAACAGAACAGATGCCCTGTTCTGTTTCTAGAGCAATTATTTAACTTATTTCCTCAACTTTGGGCTAATTCAACTTTTTAATATCTGTTTACATAGCTAAATATAAAACATTTGACAAGAAGCCTTCTTATGGGAAAAGCAACAAGGCAAATGAACTAATTAAAAGTTTCAAAGTGTTCCTCCACACTCACAAGAGACACAAAATGGGGACAGTTAGGATTTGTTTTATTTCACAAGAAAATTAGAGCTAAGTTCAAAACTCCTGCTAAAAATTCACACTGCTATGCATTTCTAATAGCTTCAGCCACATTTTCAAACTTATTAGAGGGAACTCAGCATGTTTTATAGCTGCTAACTCCATAGTGAAATTTTTTTTATATTACAGATTTCCTCACGGAGTTTTCAGTGCAACAGAAATCTTCACAATTAAGTCTTCTACAGTATTTCCCTCCAGAGAAAAAGTCTGTTGACAACAAGAAGTTACACTATCACCTATGATTAGAAAGACAACTGTCAAAAGCTTACCACTGGAACACCTCTTCCGTAGAGATAAGCCATTCCTAATCCACTCTGTCCAACTGGATTACCCTGAAAACACAGGAAAACACTTCTGCAAAGAAAGGCAAAACCTACAGCTACGTCTTTCAGATTTGGTTTAACATCATTAGAACAAGTAGCGCTTAAGAGAGATTTGTTTTCTAACTTTGCTCCTAGTAAGTAATAGTTATTTAGGGTGAAAAAAAGCATCTCTGGTAGCTTTATTCAGTAACTACAAAGGTGATTTAACAGGAAAAAGAAAAGCTTTCAACACTAGTTATGAAAGTCTACTGTGCACTTTCAAAATGTTCTACATCTTGTAGAACACCCATAGAAAGGTGGGGCATTCATAACTTACTTATCTTTAGCTTTTCCAAGTTTGAGATGTTGTGGATGCTACAGAAGCTCCCGAAACAACTACAGGAACCCTGACAATCTGCCTTAATTTAAGGGCAGATTGGTGGCTGTCCTGTGGGCTGCATTACCGACCACTGCCTCTGCAAAAGTATGCACTATGGTATTCCTTCAATGCCAGGACAGGCAATGGAGCATACTGGAAACCTTCAGTGAATGTAGGAAATTAGCAAATCGAGAGATCCTTACTCTAGGACAGAGGTGTAGAACAGCAATCTAGTTATGGAGTACAAGAACCATGAAGACAGTTATCTTATAACAGTCCCTTCAAAACTTCATCTACTGTGTTTCACATGCTAAACATCTTTCCTGGAAGACTACTCATGCTTTAACTGTACAAATGCTACCATAAGGGATAGGTCAAAGGCAGACACAAGGGATTAACAGCCAAAACCACAAACACTCCAATGGGAAGTATAAAACCAAAACCATTATCTATTCAGTGACCACAAAACAGAACCAAAATAACATATTATCAGTGCACTGTAAATTTCTGTGACAAGACAACTTCAGATTAATGAAAATTAACACTTAACAGAATTGCAGGCTATTTAGGTGGACAGTATTTCATACTGATGCCAGAATTCATGAGTTAGACTCCTTGTGCTGAACACACCTTCATGAAGCACCATGATCAGAACTGGAGGCAGTTTCTGACATCTTAGACAAGCAGGTTTTAATTATTGGCTAATCTGGGACAGAGGCTGGGAGTAGGTGTATGCACATGGAATTGCACAAAAAGAAGTATTTGCATCATTTCTGAGCTAATCAACTTTTTGGTGCATATGCTGTATTTCTAACTTAGAGGTAATCATACCATATCAGCAGCTTTCTTGAAATACTGAAGAGCTGTTTCATTGCTCTGAGGTACAACATCACTTCCTTCTGAGTACATCTGAAGGAGAAAGGCATTATTGACGAACAGCTGAAGAAGTCACTTTAACATAGAGATCATGAAGCATCTTCACTTTGCATTTGAGAGAGCATCTATTGTACCATTAGACTATTCTGACTATTACATTACTGAATGATCATTAAAGAACTTGCCCAGAAGCAGAAAACACATCTCTATGCTGTAAAATTCAGATTCAGAGGGTTTAACTTTCTAATGGAGAATTGTCCTGGTTTCAGGTGGGATAGAGTTAATTGTCTTCCTAGTAGCTGGTATTGTGCTATGTTTTTGAGCTAGGTATGAGAAGAATGTTGATAACACACTGATGTTTTCAGTTGTTGTCAAGTAATGTTTATACTAAGTCAGGGATTTTTCAGCTTCTCATGACCAGCCAGCAAGAAGGCTGGAGGGGCACAAGAAGTTGGGAGGGGACACAGCCAGGACAGCCGACCCAACCTGGCCAAAGGGGTATTCCATACCATGTGACGTCACTTTTAGTATATAAACTGGGGGGAGCGGGGGCAGGAGGATCACCACTTGGGGACTAACTGGGCATCGGTCGGCAGGTGTTGAGCAATTGCATTGTGCATGACTTGTATATTCCAATCCTTTTATTATTACTATTGTCATTTTATTAGTGTTATTATTAGTTTCTTCTTTTCTGTTCTATTAAACTGTTCTTGTCTCAACCTACAAGTTTGCCTTTTTTTTTTTTTTTTAACTGATTCTCTCCCCCATCCCACGGGGGCGGGGGGGAAGCGAGTGAGCAGCTGTGTGGTGCTTAGTTGCTGGCTGGGGTTAAATGACAAGAATAAACTGCCTATAAAATTTAAAAGTTTTCATGAAAATACCCTTCATTTTTGAGTTCTACCAGTGTGCAGTGAAGAACACATAATCAGGTAAAAATCTTGCAAGACCAGTGGAAGTCAAACTGTATTGGCAGTTAAAATACTTCTTGAAAACAAAGCAAAAACTAGTAAAACCCTGTTCATTTCAGCATTTATTAGATACAAAACACTCCAGCAGTAGAGAAACCAGGAACCTGCAATTTCTCCTGTCAGGTACCTTGACCAGCACATTATGCTACTTTTTTCATGCTCTGAGGACATAACCTTGCATCCTCTACTGCATTAACAGCCTGAAAAAGACGAGCTAGAGCTGCTGCTTATGGCAGCATAAGCTTAGAGGGTACTCAAATGGAGTAATAAGGATTTAGCTCCTCACAGGGCGAAGGTAGCCTGCAACCCAGATCTCAGGCAAGTGACCTAAGTACCTTTCTAAGCAGAAACACATTAACATCACCAATACCAGCTTGACAATCATGTTTTAGATTAAAAAGGGGACTTACATCTGATAAAACTGATACAATGGCCCACCTTGCAGATAGACTCAGGCTTTGGTTCAGAGTAGATGCAGATCTATTGGCAACTCTGACTCAGATGGCTCAGTTCTCTACACAGAATAAGAATGCAGACATCTTTCCCCTTTTATTTCCTGAACTTAATATTTCCCACTATGCAAAATTTTGAGAAGCTGAGCTTTTCCCAACACACTGTATGGAAGAACATAGTGACCTACTCTGAGTTTTGAACTCCACCACAGAAAAAGGACATTTAGGTATTTAACTGTTTAATTTTTAAAAAAGTCTAGTTCAAGCACTATTTAGAAAAAAGTTCCTAAAGTGAAGGAACAAGTAGAAAATTTAGACCAGACGTAATAGACTACAACACTCAAATCTTGCAGGACAATTCAAAACAGCAGCAAAACAGAAGTACCTAGATTCCAGCATTCAAGTTTTAGACTGTCTGATAACAGAAAGTAGGAAATATTTGGGTTTTTTTTCATTGAAAGGCAGTCAATTTGCCTACTTTTGAGAGTGTTCATATCTTACCTTTCCTAGAAAGGCCATGGCATGTGAATTGCCAGCATTAGCTGCTTGATTGAAGTACTCAAATGCTCGCTGTAGGGAAGAAAACAAGTATTTTAGCCACCATGACTATGATTTCAGTACCTTTTCCTGCAAATGGAGCAGAGGCGAGTAGGTTGTTTGCCAAGTTACCAGGTTCTTCTGCAGCTAAGAGTTATCAATCCCACCTAATTTACGTAACAGGTTTCCCCACTTAAAATTGAAATATTGAGCAGCAATCCCTCTCAACAATGTATTCCAAAATGCAGAGGGGAGAAAAAAGCTTCATTATATTCATTCTGACCACTTGATATCATCTCTGAACCCTTCTAGAGCAGTCATTTTAAGGTATTTTAAATGTGATGACCATTAAAAAATTTCTGGTTCGTAGCTGAGTCTGAAATAACCCTCAGGACTGCATATCCTCAGCTCTCCAATTTTTCAATACATACTTTAAGAAAAGGTTAGTTATTTTAACTTCCATAAGCAGTAGCTAGGTTGGCTTACACCAGCAGAAGTTCTATCTTCTATGCACACTCAATATCCTTAGTATTGAAACTTCCACTGTTTTGTCTACAGAAGCAAAATAATCTTGCAAGCCACATAAACTAGCCTATCATCGCTAATGCATGCACAGTGCATCATGAAGATTCTACTACACATACAAAGCTCAGCCAGTTTCAAGTACTACTTGATGAAAACCTGTTCCTTGGTTTTGACTTCCTTATTTCTAAGATGATTAGTCTTAAACTAATTGTGTAAGAAAATCAGCTCCATGTACTAATCACATAAAGATTAAGTTTTATTGAACAGGACTATTGAAGTCATTAAATACCTTATGGTGGTACTTAAACACTTTTGCTTCGCTGTGGTCTCAGCTATACTTTCTCTGCCTCCACCAAGTATAATATGCATCAGAGACATACAGAAAGGGTACCTGATGATTTTGCTCTACTCCTCTTCCTCCATGCAAGTGCAACTGTCCAAGGCCAACCTAAAAATAAATTTTACATTGAAAATAAGTCACTCTTCCCTAGGGACTTTCTTTTTCTAGTAATATAGATACCTGCAGGCTAATTACATGCACAAAGACAGACCATATCAGAATTAAAGATGCCACAAAGTCTGAAGGCACAGATTTGCTTCAATAACTACAGTACAGTCCTATTTTTTCATATTAGTCTAAGTGGAAATTTATCCTAGATAAAAGTGATGTGATGTCCTAGATACAAAGTAGTAATTGTTCATTTGAATTCTGCCTACCTAATTCTTGAGTCATATATGACCAAGTTGAATTGTGACAATTTGCCTTTATTAGTGTCCTCCCCTGCTGCATTGTGTGTGGAACAGGTCCAACCTACAGCATGCAGAAGTCATGTAAGAGCAGTGAGAAACTAGGTCCCCCATGAGGGTCAGTTCTTTTGATCAAGGCTTTCTCCACAACATCTAAAGCTATCCTTAAACTATTCTGGATGGTTTCTAGTGCAAACCAAGACTCTCTTTCCTAAGATACTAAAGTTGTAATGTTTTGGACTTATTTTCCACAAAATTTTACATTTTCTGTCCAAGTTCTACCTTAAACATGCTAAAATAAAAGCCTCTTGTCATAAAAAATAATCAGGAAATAGCAACCAGGTTGATTTAGGAGGAAGAGAAAACTAAAGCTCCAACGTCTGTCCGTATTTCATAAAGCTGTGCATGTAATTCTTGAAAACCTCTGCATGCCATCAGGTGAACTTAATCTTACCTGTGCTTGTACATCTCCTTTCTCTGCTAAAAACTGATAATACTGAATCAAGTCTTCTTCTAGCATCCCACTTGCCATTCCTGGATTTTCTACTTCATCTGCTAAGCGAATTCGCTGAACCACTGTGCCACCAGTCAAAGAAATGTCACTAGCAACTGGAAAACAGATAAGACAAATTTTCAGACAGTTTTGTTCAATACAAATATTACATGGCAACATAGTAAAAACAGATCTGTACAGAGCTTCAAACTGTTACTCAGAGAGAATGAATTACTTTGACAGTCTCTAAGAATTAAAGACATTTCAATAGATAGAGATAAAAAATAGCATATCATGATTCAGAGCAACACAGATAACTTGTTTAATAGCAGGAATTCTCTATTTTTGTACTATTGGTGTTGATAGTACATCTAGTATTTTCTAGGTGAATGATATAGAAATACATAGAAAACCAAGAATGTTAGCCTAGTAAAAAGTTTTTACCGTGATTAGCTACAAGTCGGTAGTGAGTGAGAGCAGATTCACAACTTTGAAGGACTCCTATCCCAGCCCAGTACCGGTAACCCTAGAAAGCAAAATATAAAAATATGGGACTATTGGTTATTTGACAACATATTGCTTGCCAGGTTACAAACTTTTTTCAAATTACTTGAGCAAGGTTTGATGAGACAACAGGCAAAACAAAGGCCACAAGTCCATTGTGTCTGCATTAAAAAAACCTTGACTGATACCATTAAAGTTAAGTGTGGCCAATATACTTCAGATATTACTCAGGAAAAAGCAAATAAGAATGATACTTATGGGTGAAAACCTAAAGCCTTTTACTTACACACATTGCACTTTGTCTTAAATCTCACAATACTGATTAAAACAGCATCTTCTGTAAAGATCTCTGGCTTTCACAGTTCTCATCAGCCTATAAAATTAGAAGTCTGACACTTCTACTTTAAGTCAAGAGATGTAAACATGGTCCATCTAAATTCATAGTGGTATACAGCTTAAAATGAGCAGACTTTTCCTTAAGTTTACAAGGAATAACAGGGAAGATACTATTGGTTACCCAAGGTATGCATGATGATCTAATATTTGGACAGTGTATTCACATGAATGCAAATCTTACATTCAAAATTTAAGAGTATAAAAAAGTTCCTGCATGTGTAAAGTTATTAACTATCTTACTTACCAAGATCATATGGGCGATCAGATTTCCTCCTAAAGCTCCGAAAGTGTAATACACCAGGGCCTTAAAACAAAATCAGTGGTTATTTAACATCTGCCTCCAAGATAAAATACAAGAGCACACACTGAAGATTTCTATGTTACCTTAGCTTGACTAGAATTGACGCCTAGACCAGATGCATATAGAAATCCAAGAGCCTAGAAATAAAATAAAGTTTGTCAGCACATCCTTTGAAAAATCCAGGATCAGTTTTCCTGGAATACACAAGTATAAAGAAGTCAAACAACAATCCAAAGCTGCAAAGAACATGCCAAGCTCTACCTTCACTTTGGTACCTCCTATATCTAAAGCTCTTCCCTGCCCCTTTTGAAGTATGAAGTTTCTAAATTATTCAGTTACCTAGGAGACTAACATAAATACATTTCACCAGAATTCAGTCTAGCGGATCGAATGCAAGGAAGAAACTACTACTTCCCTGAATGCCAAGTGTAGGTCTAAAGGTCCTGAAGAGTAAAAGTATACCAGTTTAAAGACCCTCAAATGAAGATCAGCAACATCTGTCAGGTTATTCATGTATCCTATTTGTCTCATACACCAGTGCAAACATACATGAACCACGACCTTCTCTATAAGAATCTGTTTGATTTACTAACAGATCCTATGAATTTACTATTTTGCATCTGTTCTGCCATGGGTTAGTTGCATTTATGACTACAAATATAAGCAGTTAGAATGCAGAAAGCTGTTTGGCTGAGGATTTTTCAAAAGTTATTTTTATGCTTAAAATTTACATAATTACTGCTCTGTCTATAACACCTGTTACAGCTGTGTGGCTCAAAAGAGAAACTAGTAGCACAGAAGATAACAGTATATATATATCAAGGTGGCTGTATTTCACTGTTCTAAGACTATTCTAGGCAATTCTGAAAGCACACCCACCAAAAAAAAAAAAAATCACCTCATGCAGACAGTATTGAATTCTAGACCAAGAAAAGTCAAGGTCTTCACTGAGACAAAGTCTCTAGTAAAAACACGTTCCTGCTTTCTGTGGTAAAGCAGCACTCCAACATTAAACATGGAACAGCAGGAGACTTGGTAGGCAAAGAGCCAAAAGAAACCAGATAATTCCTAAAGAAGCTGACACTTCCAAAACAAAAAAGAACTAAACAATAAATGTATGCAGATATTGAGACATTAAAATTGTAATGTCATAAAATGTGGGCGTTACGTGTGAACAATTACATACAAACAGTTCTATAATGTTCAAAGGCACATGGACAAAGTGAGTCCCATTCCACTAAACAGCTTTCAAGATTCCTAAGAGTTTCTGACTTCCTAGATTATAAACTTGTGTGTGTGTGTATATCTACCTGTCTCAAAGATAAAACTGCAGATGAAAAGCCACAACATCCCCCATGAACCACAAGAAGAAAGTAACACAGAGTTTCAGAGAAGATTTGTTGGCTGGAGTCACCTGTATCTACCCATTTTTTGACTTAACACATCCAACCTAGTCAGTCATACAACAGATAAATTAAATTAAAAGACCGCCACCGTACTGTATTACTGGCAGTTTAATGCTGGTTTTTTAAACTCAAAGAGAAGACCTGTTTCCATGTGTTTACCTTGAGGGCGCAGATGCCATTTGTTACTGCTAGTAATGCTAGCAACATGCAGAAGCCAGGTAAAGCAGAAGGATTTGGGGGACAATCTTGGAATCAAAGCAAGGCACTGGTGAAATTTAAAAAGGTGAAGAAAGGCAATGTGTAGTCAGGATCAGGAGATGATTAGGCAAGCATCAGTAAAATGCATTACCTGAATCAGAGCCTGAAGCAAATGTTTTACATCAAGTTTTCAAACAATTTAAAAAAGCAGCACTCTCATCTGCTGTCTTTTTTAACCAGGCAACAGATACCACTTACTGTTCTCATTCTATTCTGGATGCAAGAACAATCTATAAAACCACCTTAGAGGACGTATGATCTATAAAACAATTTCTAAACCTATAAAAACTTCTGTAGAATCTAAGTACATACATACCATTTGTCCTTTAGGAGAACCTTCTTCTGTTAGTTTTTCAAATAGTTCTTTTGATGACTGGATGTTCTGCTTCAGGTAATCCCCAAACAACAAAGCATAAGACACTTTCTCCATTGCCTTGGTATGATTCATGTCAGCTGCTTTCAGAAGATATTGATACGCTCTTAAAAGAAAACAATTTCTTAGTCACCTTGAGGCAAAGAAGCAGATTCCATTCATAAACCTGAAGATTCTAGGGAGGTGTTTTGATCCTCAGCCTCTATTTTCTAAAAATGCATCTACCTACAGTCATTTGTTCCAGTTCCAAGCTGTCAATCTATGCAACAACTCATACAATTTAGCTAATACACAAACTAGATTTTAACGTTCACTCTACTCCATATGCAAAGCAGTATGCATTTCCTCCCTGTAAGATATATGAAAAGTTTAATGTCAAATGATCACATTTTTGTAGCAACAATTTTAAGTCCTATACTAGGTATCCAGTAGGATGACTACTCTGACAGCTTCACAGATCATGATAGAAAAAAGAAGCCTGAAAAAGACTATGGAGTCTCTTTGATTGTTGAGTACAAAATCATTCCAATGAAAACACTAAGCATTGGGTCCAAGACAACTGCATATATGATCAATTTTGTGATGAAACAGTCATGCTAACAATGAGAAAGTTCTTTGGAAACTCCCCTTTCTATTTCAGCCTCAGAACTTAGAGTAGTCCTCCAAAGTAATTTCACAGCAGGCGGTTTCACAGCAATTTAAAAAACTGTAATCTTAAACATCATAACACAGTACTGTCAAGCATGCTTCAGCTTGATTTCTCATGGACCTTTGATAGCATTCCAAGATTTTTCTTTACCTCTCCTCTTTTCTATACTCAGTCTTGTTTTCTTCCTTTAGGACAGGCTAAGGCACAGCTGGTTGCTCACATAATTTCATCTTCTAAGAAAGTGTAAAGTATTCAAGAGAAACAAGATCTAATATTGTTTTATAATTCCCACGTTATTTTATTCAAAGGAATACTAGTCAGTCTAACAGATACTGTCTCCCTTTGTCTTTGCCAAGGTGTGATGTACAACCCCTAGCTGTGCTTCAGTTTCCCTGATACATAAAGTAGAAATACGCTTCCATATCTCCACAAACAAGTTTAACACTGTAATAGTGCTCACATAATAATCAGCAGCGTGAAGTCACCACTTGCTGATGAAGTTGTCAACGTGAGTACCAGGGAGTTCTAAATTAACATAGCTATTCTTAATTATAGTGGTAAGCTGAGAACTATTTCATCAGTAATTGGATATACACAGAGTAGAAAGTAAACAGACCAGAGTGAACGGAACACTCAATTATTTTTTTTTTCGTTTTGTCTACAAGTACTCCCCTTTTCTCTCATACAATGTTAATTATTAGAGTTTTAACAATTTGTTGAGATTAAGCTTAATACTATTTTTATGGTGACCGAAAACACCAGAAAGCAGGGACAAAAACAGAGCAGGACAAGAAATGCTGATTTTTCCCACTTAATCTTTGAAGCAGAATAAGAACCAGACTGTAAGAAACATTTGAAAAGAGACAAATAGCTTGTATCATGTTCTTATTTTTTTTTCTGGGCAGCTGCAACATATATATTGTGGCTAGAGAACTGCAGCACCATCTTGCATTAAGTCAATGTTTTGATGACATCCACTCTTCAGAAATTAATGTTATACAATTTTTTGTGGATTCAGAGGAAAGCAGAAATAAATTTGTTTTTCTAAATACCCTGAAATTACTATTTATTTTCAGTACTATCACTGCATAGTTTGATGCTAAGTCCAATAAAGTGCAAAGTCCCAGGGCAACTCATTTAAGTTATTTTTCAGTTAAGCCAGAGTGACCAGCCATGTCATCCTTGTCTTGTGGGGGTGGAGGAGGTAGACTTACTCTTTCTTCTGAGCCTTTTTACTGCTTTCATTAAGGATTTTCATTCCAGTCTGATAAACATCCTCAGCTTCTTGCATCTGCCTTCTCTTATTAGACTGCTCTTCAGCTGAAAAAAAAAAAAAAAAAAGGTACATCAAGAGCTCTAATTACACAGCTCAAGACTATTCTCTCAAAATTCCTATTGGTTCTGAAGGGAAATTACAGACAGAAATATGTTTCTGAAGACCAATAAACAACCCAAGTGATTACAAAAAGCTGTCTCAAGGTGTTGGATATCTTGGTAGACAGTTTCTTCTCATGTGATGTCTCTCATGTACAAGTTTGCTGTTAAAATATTCTTTTCATTGCTCCAAAGCAAGCTGTGCAAGGAAGAAAGGCTCCTCCATCAGGAGGACATTTCCTAGAGAAGTGTTGCCTTTGTGCAACAAATCAGCAAGTACAATGGGAAAACACTGTCAAACCTCTATAGTCCTACAGACTCAGAAACTTAAGAGTTTTATAGGTGCCTCCACTACAAAATTTCCCAAACAGCTTTGGGAAGTGGCATTTGCATTATAATCTTTTCCATCATGAGAACTTTGCCTTTATAATTACTGGTATATCACAGTATAAAGTGGCCATTAATATATGACAGGGACTTCTAGACCCTGAAATAAGGGGCATTAAGAGGACTGAAAACACTAGCTTAAGAAAGCATTCCTTGGACAAGAACAAGACATCAGGCTACTTACTTTCACAGAAGCCCCACTTTTGATCTTTCTTGTAATCATAGGTTGTTGCACACCAAAGCCTGCCATCCTCCCTCCCATCTGCAGTGCACTCTGCATACTCCTTCTCCATAAACAAAAAGGGGAAGTGGCAAGGTTCACCATCTGCTGTGCCTCCAATAGCTGTCAAAACTGAAAATACATACCCAGGGATTAGACTGCTTTCCTTTATTCCACAAATAAAAGTCATCTACTACACATAGGAAAGCGCACCTATGTTGGTTTTAATTTCTATGAACTGCATTTAATCAAGTTCTTGGTAAAACTTCTAGTTTACAAAAGCCTGAAAAAGCAATTATTTTTCTAAATAGGACTTGAAGAAGTATTATTCTTATTTTTAATCAGGAAGTGAAACTGAAGGTAGGTGGTTTCTTATATTCCTTAGTTCTAGGCAAAGAAAATACTTTTGTTTAGATTGGAGAAGGCAAATCTGTTACATTTTCATTGCCTACCAAAATATACAGCCCTTCCTTTCACCTTCTCTTCTCTGCACTCCCTTCCTCATGCAAAAGACTACCCTTGAAGTGCATTCCAGTGAATATATTCATTTTAGCCCCAGGGTTAGACATAATCATGACAGAACCACTCACATCCCCAAATGTGATACTGAAAGTACTTGAATATCAGCAGGAAGTACACTTAGAACATACAACTGTGAGAAAAGACTTAAAAGTCTAGTCATTTTCTATTGTTGCAAATTCTTGCATTGAAAACTTTATTCCACTTCGCCAATATATTTATGATGTATTCAAAATTACTTTGAACAGCATGATTTATCATTTCTCATGCACTAGAACTTCAAAGGTTACTGATTCCAATATTGCAATATTTTTAAATAAAATCAATCTTCCATGAAGACCAAGAATTATCTTCACTTTTTTGAAAATGAAATTATTTCAATTAGCCTTTTATAATTTCTCTTTCACTAAGCTAAATCCAGCAGTTGGGTTCAGCTTCATTTGAAGACATTTGCAAAGTCATGCAGTTGAGAACATCAATTATACAGTGTTTTTTCAAGTTAAGTTTGTAATTCTTGTGGTTATAGAGAAAGTTAGTTCTTTTTTCTAGGGTTTATAATTGTAAGGCCTAGAGACCATACTAATTTAAAAATTTTATTTTGATTTTTTGAAGCATAAGGAAGTCTCTAGGATTAGTTAGCCTGTTCAAATTGCTCTTCATAATTTGATTCCTTGGCAGATGCTCCACCATACCACTCCAAGTTACTTATCCCATAACACACAAGGAAAAATGTTATTTTCAGAAATTTCATTAAAAAATAACGCGTCCAAATGCAATTTGCCTGGAATAATTTTAGACATCTGTTAACCACAGAGTAATACTCATGCTAAGGGTACACGTAACTACAACTGATGGGACCTCTTATCACTGTCATTTGAACAAATTCCAGGTCCAGCATACTAACACTACTTGAGAACTTGAAGTTTTACTTGTATTGCTTAGTACCTTGTCTCATATATCAAAAGCAATTGGATGCGAACCGTTCACACAGCGTTCTGCATGAGAGTTAACAAATGACTCTGCCCCAGTCCTCCCCCTTGCCTTCTTTTAATTCTAAATTCAACCATAATGCTGTTTTTCCCCCCAGATAGTAACAAATACTAACCTCTAAAGCAACACAGCTATGTGATCACAGGATAAAATGCTCACCACAGTTATTCTGTCATGTACTTAAAGAATGATAAATACAAACTGAGGCAAATGATTTACTTTTTGTCCAACCGAGTGTGCAAGCAGCAATCTACCTGTTTTACTATGTCTGAATAAAGTATATGGTATTTTATCATTATGTTTTGTCCTTATTTACTTATATCTCATCTCATACTTTATTCTGCAGGAAACTTAAATATAGATTACTTATAAGTATTGGTTACATTACTATAAGATTCCTCCAAATAGGAAAACAACCGCAGCAGGAATTGCCAGCTCTGTATAATCTCGTGGGCAGTTTTTAGCAAAAATTGTTAGCATGGAACTTGATTGTTACAAAAACATACAACACAAGATAAATAACTAAAAAATACCATTTTCTTTACACACAAGACCTCCCCACTGTATCAGAAGAAAGCAGGACAACTTCTTTCTTAGAAGGTTAAAAGCCTTAGTAGTACTAATTTTAAATTACTGAAGATGAATTTTTTTTCTGCTCATTGTCCTGCAAAATACATGTGGAAACTTGAATATTATTTTTTTCCATGCAATCTCATGACCATACACAGGAGCCAAACTGTATTTAGAAAAGCTTTAATCTCCCTTAATGCAGTCCTGTCACCAGTAGCTCATTCAAGAGCTGTAGCATCTGTACCTGAGGTAGATTCCTGTCCCGCTCAGTTAAAAAGTTTGCCAGTAAAGCTGTCCTTTAGCAGTATTTTTTACCTGCCAGAATACAAGTACTTTCCCTTCAGAACTGCTTTTTAGATAAAACCAGTAATCCTTCCATCCACACTGCTTATTTACTTCATAAGAGGTTCAAGAAACTGCGCAAGGCTTAAATTTATGGTTTTTGAAAGTCACTTGCAGTACTTTGACAGGTGTAGTTAAAAACCTCAGTTGCCAGGGAGCAAGCCATCTGGTCACATCTTTCTGATATGAGATTAAAAGTATCTTAAAGTTTACTTTTGAAACAGACTGCACTGACTAAATATGGTGCTTAACTCACTGTTTTGCGGTAGCAAGCTATTTAGTGGATTTTATATACCTTTTTCCTGTACACCACCACACCTATTGACAGCAATATTTAATCCTATTACAGAGTTTTTACAAACTGTATACTAGTTCTGCATTAATAAGGAAGGCTTATTAGAAAACACTGAAAGTTAGTATATAACAGAGCTCATTTCATAACTTGTTTTCTTTTGACATTCAAATCTGAGTTGAGAAGATAGACAAATACTAATATTACTATGTAACTATATTTTTTCAGTAAAGTTGAAGATTCAGTTTTTATGTATGAGTGAAAAGGAAAAGTCTTTGCTGCATAGGCTAGGGTACTCAACTGTGCCATCTAGTTATCATCCACTACTAACTGCAAGTCAAAAAAATCATATTAAATTTATATTTTTATTAGCAGTAAAAAATACCCTCTAGAATTTCCTGTGAATTTAGGCATAAGGACTTAAGGTCTCACCTATATTTAAAAACTTACTGAAGTTTACATGCAATTTAGATGTTGCCCTAAGGCTTCCAATGCTATCCCAGGAAGCTTGTCTTTGCATCATAATTCGTTCCTTCTCTGTCAACTGACTCTCCAGGCAAACAGAAAGCAGGCTGAAATACTGATGCAATTTCTCCTTCTACTGTTGGTATAAATACACACAGCATAGTATGCGTGCTTGAGTCCTATCTGGAGAAATTGGGGCTTTCTCCATTTGATAGTTAAAGCTTTCCAACAAGATGGCAACAACAAGAATTTTGGAAAACCCTTTCAAATACATCTAAAAATAAGCACTCATATTTCAATCACAATATACTTGAAAACTTTTTGATGTTACTTTCTAATGGAAAAGGCAGCAATTATCATTCCATTCCAGAAAGGTTAAGACGCTAGTTATTTCAAAGTTACTCAGATGCATCTTTTTTGCCACCTGTTCAAAAGTCTGTGAGCAGTTACCTGGACTCTGTATTTCTGCTTCTTCCAAATCTTTATTTAATAGATTTGACATTTCTAGAGAGTTCAACTCTTCCAGCGAACTCTCTTTTTCCTCCTCTTGACTGTGAAAGTTCTCTTCATCCTCCGATTGAGAGTCTGATTTCCCTGATTCAAGGAAGATCTGACCTGCTACTACTCGAGTTCCTGTAGAATGGTCCTTTACCTGGTCCTCTGCAGATAAAGTCTAAAGGAAAGCAGCCACATAATTTAGAAGATTAGAAACTGAACAGCAGGAGCTGGCAAAAAACCCATTATTTTTTAAAGATATGATTAATTAACATACTAAGTTTAAACAGTAGCATCAAAAGTAAGTTGAGCTACCTCTATCAGCTCCCATTGACTCAATCCCTTTCAGTTCTTTGGAAAAAAAAAAAATTCAAAGCTAAAACACAACATTAATTATTTTGATGCACAGAAGACATAAATGACACAGCAAGAGCTACAGTACAGTTTAAAACAGGAATCAAATCATGGTTCTGAATTTCAGACCTTTGCTCTCACACCACAAGAAAAACAGAATGACTAGAAACTTATTTCCTCACCTTTGACTCCAGTGATTCATCTTGATTTCCCTCTTCATCTAGAAGAGATGTTATAAGTCAGTAAAAAGCTCTTCCATGAGTAATCTTCTCAAAAATAAAAATAAGTTCAGCTATAATATTGTACCATGGTTCTGAAATATTCTATTGTACTGAGTTGACTAATGCACTTCAGAAAGACCTTGGTGGTGTTGTCAGGAAGAATCAAATGTTTCACAGATGTTTCTTCTTCCTTAAATTATGCCAACACAACTATGAGTCCAATACTGGAAAAGAGTGTGGAATTTTTTTTTTTTTTTTTTTTTAAAAACCCAAATCAATCCTCTAGATTACTACTGAGTCTGAATTGTTCCGGTCCAACTAAACTAATTAAAAAGGTATGCATCAAGTGAAAAGGGCCTGTGGAACCTAGAGTTTTTAGCCACCGAATCAGCTTCAGTATAAACAGCTTCAGTAGTGACCAAAAAGTTACATTAATAACACCTCACTTGTAATTAAACATTGTGCTTTATAGAATGCCAATAATTTTGCCTGACCAGCATATTCAAACCTTTATACAGAAGTCTCTCTTCAGAAATGTGAGACATTAGTTTGTCTTTAAGACACTGTTCAAGAGCTGCAAGCCTTGTTTAATTGTCATCTTTCTTATCTGAATGGGCTATGATATGATATTTGATTAGAAAGACTGCAAAGAGAAGAAATGGTAAAGAAGAAAGGCTATTAGGCAGAGACCTAAAGAAATGGAGGTGAAGAGGAGGGAGAAGATAATCAGAAAAGCTTATTTATGAGTTTTACCACTGTTTTGCAGAGCTGTGTCTCATTTTCTTTGTTTCTATAATTTAAATGGGCTACTAACTGTGCTTCAAACAACCTGGTTTGTACTATCATCTTAACTGAAAGCCTCTAAAATTATCACAGACGGAAATGTGACTGTTCCCAGTCATCAGTATCTGATACCACCTCATTTAGGTAAACACCCCCGCCCCCCCATTTGAAAGAAGACACTACAGGCCTCCCTCTCTCCAGTACACAACTCACTTAAACCTAAATAAAAGCTTAAAATATAAACAGATGACTAAGCAAAGCTGCCACTAACTCCTACTACATTTAGAAATCCCCCCCTTCTGAGATTCTGGGGTGTGTAATGCCCTATAGCAGTAGTAAGGTGTTGACAGGCCGGAGACCTGCACTGTGACTAGAAAAGGTATGTAAACTGATAGAAGTTAGTGCCCTGTACATGAGATACACCATTTAGTATGTTACGGTTACCTATTAAAGACTACCTGCACAAATACTGAATGCCAACAAAACTCTCCAAAAGTTTATAGACCTCTGCTGACTTTCTGTAAGGATCTGTCAGCAAACAAAACTTGCATGCTTTTTATCCTATTGCAAGTAGAGTATTTTACCTGAGATAAACCATCTCTGAAGTGACAAACTACAAACATGACACTTCATCAGCTCTTGTTTTGAAGGCTATTACTATAACAGAGCAACTGTGGGTATTTGCAATGAAAGGGCTAATCTTGGAAGCCAGATTCCAGAAAGCAATTTCCACATTGTTATTTGAAGTATAACCTTTGATTAGAACAAGTAAAAACATGAGGATCAACTTTAAGCTGAAACAGCATAATAAAAACAAGAAAAAAATGCTAAGACTTGTAAGAGCAAAACTAAGGTGACAAGAAGTTTGACAGTGCAACTGAGACAAATCGATAATAGTCTGTTGAGCATGCTGATGAGGAAGTAAAGCTCAAAAAGTCTGACTGCCAGCAGACATAGGATTAAACAGGATCTAGAACAGTCACTGTGGGTAGGCAGCTGTACCCCACAGGTCCAAAAATGAAAGCATGTAGAGCCCTTCAGAAAAACTAGTGGAGACATCAAAGAGCACTCCAAATGAAACAGACCCTGGAAGTAGCAACTAAGACAGCATAAGACCATTTTGGAAAAGGCACCAAAAGAGGCATAAGGAAAAAACAAGGCTAGCTGCATTTTTGGCAGAGACCACAGTGCTTATCAGCTCGAGGAATCTAACAGATAAGGCTGATTGGGATAAGTCATAAGAAGTTCTACCACTTAACTTCAACACTTCAGATCATGTAACAGTTGGTTTTTAAATACAGTAAAAGTACGTATACATTTAGGATACTTGTAGGTCTTTTCTATTTTTAAACTATAAGACAATTTGCATTTACCATGTTTCCCACAAATTACATTCTACCATCCTAAACAAGTTTGATCTAAAACCAAATGCCACCCCTACAACTCCGAACTCCAGAGCTTGTCAAGAGATTCAGACATGCTTCTGGAGCGGGAGAAAAGTACGACAGGGTTAACCTACCCAGTAACTTGTATGCTGCTATTAATATATACAAAGCTCTTATACAGTACCTGTTACTGCAGTAACAATCATCATGTTATTTTTAACAGCTATAGCAGCTAGGGGGTTTGTTTTTGTCTGCTCAAAATCAGCCTATATGCCTGACAGCACTAGACCATTTTAGCTTTTTGGTAAAGGCTTTACTAACTGATTTCAGTCTGTGGAAGGCTGACTTTACAACAAAAGATCACACAACGACAAATACAAATAGGGTATACTATCTATGCACACATATCAAAGAACAATTTTATTGTAACTTCATAGGCAAAGCAAAAGGTTTACTAAATCGAAAGGCAAGGGACATCTGAGCAACGTAAGGTAGAGCTCATTAAATGCTCTTCTTCCTTGAAAGTAAATAAACAGATTTCATTTCTATTGCATCATTTAAATCCTCTCTGAAGGAACCAGCTTTGTGATTAAGAAGTTGTACCTGAATAATTGTTTTCAAAAAAACAGTTCCAAAACAGCACTAAAGCAACAACAAATATTAGTTTAATTGTTCTTAGCTCTGGGACCTCCTTCTAAGTTAGGCAGATGAGGCTGCAGTGATGACTGATATATGACTAGAGGAGGGATCATTTACAGCCTTGTTATTTCACAGAACTGCTGACTAATATGCACCCGCTACTCATAGAAGTGTCTACTTCTAAGAAACATTTAAGAAAACTATTCTGAAAGTGTTAATGAAAGATCTGTGGAAGGTCACAGTTTGACCTAAGAACAGCTTATTAGTCAAGCCTCAACTACTGAACACAGTCACAGATGACATGTTTGTGCACCTGCTTCAGAGATTAAAGTTGATAGTTTAGTTTGTTTTTCCAGAGTTAAATGAAAAAGTAACTGACTTTTTTTTTTTAATTTAGGTTTGTTACCAAGGCTGCCTAATTCTATAAACCTCTTCTGAAAAGGCCAATTGGAAGTTAATCCTACCATTCGTTAAACAAATTACAGAGATGCAATGATATGTTAAAAGGAAAAAGTAGGCAAAAATACTTGTGGCTGAAACGAGCAGCTGACCGCTGTACAGAATGCTTCACTTACAAACAGTGCTGAGCTGTAGACACTGCTGGGTGCCCTCATGTCCAGCTAGGACTCTAAAGCGCTTCATAGAGAGATAAACACTTGTTTCAACCATCCACCACTTCATATATAATTAAAATCAGCTTTCAAATGTATTCATTTTTCCTCAGTTAGAAAGATCAGTGTTCAATCAGTCTATTTAAATATAGCAAAAATACCCTGGCAGCCTATGCTAGATAAAAAGATCCTACCATATGCTGGATAAAGATCCGACCATTTTGTGAGAATTACCATTTTCAAGAGAGCACTATGGAGAGAGGGGTAGAAACAAGAAGAGCTATGCAGTGCGATTCAGCAGGAAGAATGTCATTAGCTCGAGGGAGCCCAACAGTGCCAAAGTTTTGCTGTATTAGAAGAACAAATCAGCTGACAGCCTATAAAGCTAAAGGACTGCTACTACCAGACAAGAAATACTATTAGTTTCAATGTTAGAATGGTCACTCACCTTTGGGAAATAGCCCAAAATTCAGCAAATGCAAGCAATTGGCAACTTCCCAAAGCTCTGATGAATGCCCTAACTGATCAGAGTTATCGCCAAGCTCTTCAAGCTTCAAACACTATCACAACAAAGCAACTAGTAAGAATTTGCATGCTTTACAGCAGTGATCTCCTAAGTGGGGTGCATACATCTCAGGGGGCGCGCTAGCCAACCCACTGGGGATGCAGGAAGAAATTACTTTTTGTACCATTAATAAATAAAACTTTTCTTAATACAGTGTTTATTTCACCTTTATCTCATTCTTGTTTCTTTTCTGGTTTTGTGCATGTTTTATGATGCACATAATACAAAAAATACATGTATGTACTACTGTACTAATATAAGTTAAACATTGAAGAGGCATGCTCAAAAAATTTTTTACGGAGACAGGTGCATGAACAAAAAAGGTTTGGCAACAGCTGCTTTAAAGCATCCAGCAGAGATTTTCTGTGGTATTTTTAGTTATTTCTTTCAATGTTCTTATTATGCAAGTGACTAGTTAGACTTTGAAAGAGAGGCAAACCCTGTTTATCTTATTCTTGCAGGAAAAAAGTAAGTCTTAAGAAAAAAATTACCTCAGATTGCTTCTGATCAATTTTTCACCTGTTAAATTCAGCACAGAAACACTCTATAGCGTAGATGCTATTCCTATTACATGAAGCCCTAAAACATGCAGTGAGTTAAGCAAAATCCTTAAGTGGTATCTATTCAGCAAGACTAGTTTCAAAGTATCCTTGGCAGCAAGTAAATTGTTCCCAGCTACAATCTGTGCAGCATATTCATTTTAGTGCAACTGCAAGATTAAGATACAGGTCCACACTCACTCTGAATACAAGTCTTTTTTCCGGTCTCCTTGCAATTACTGGCTAACTATTTAGAAAACTTACTCTCTCTGTAGGAATTGAGATTCCCTATCAGGCAACAAGTTTAGGGAATGTTTTTCAGTTAGGTAAGTAAAATCAGAAGGGTCAGGGCAGGCCAGTGAGGTCTGTCTTTTCAGACAATAGGTACAGAAGTTTCCTTCAAGTGTATGACTGTGCTCATTTGTCCTACCAGTTAATGAGACAGTATGAAAACCTCTGCATATCACTGAAGTTAGCCATAGAAGGTGCAGGATAGTCAGAGGAAGAATCACTTCCTCTCTTCAGGCAGAATGAGAGAATTTCTACCTCTTAGGCTGCAAACAAGGGGGAAAAAAACCCAAGAATAAAATAATATCAGCAATCAGAAAAAAATAACATTTTTTTCAATGTTCTTAATGAATGATCAACAGAAGAAGCAGAAGGCCATCGCTGCTGTGATAAGCAGAAGATAGCCAGTTTCAGCTGGAAAACACAGTTACCTTTTTTCAGCTGCTTTTGCCAACTCCCCATGGACTCCTTAATATTCTTTCCCCAGCTCCCAACATTCAACTTCTTCATACCTGTACTAATATTGTATCTTCAAAAAAATAGCACCCATTTCCTTAGGCCTGAGTTTTTTAACATTCACATGAAATTTTCAATAAATTGATTTAAGCAAAGTTTATGACTGTAGAGTTAGAGTTTAAAGCTGTAGTTAAAAGACTCACTACTAAAAAAAATCCTCATTAAAAACATCTTCTGAAGTCAGGAAATGTAATACTTGAACTGTTTGTTTTTACTCATCGATGAAGTGATGACGACTTATTTTCTTTCAGAATGATTCTTGACAAAAATTGGAGCAATAAAGGCCTTCCTGTTATAATCTGCTGCCAAAAGATGGACTCCAAACACCCTCTCCTAATTCATTCTGGATATTAGTGAACAGTTTTATCTCACAGTAACGCTTTAAGTTTGGCAACAGCACCTAATCCTTCATGTACTATACCATGTGCTTTCTTGGGCCTAGTAACTGTATTAGTTCAACTGACTCTAAACATATGGTTTTTAAAGGCTGAATTAAGCTTATCAGAATTTCATATTCACAAACACAACTTTGTGATAGTGGGAAAGCAGTCGAGACAGAAGAGTTGCGTGCCAGCACAGCCATAGATGCACACTTGGAACAGCCCTTAATTTTGCCACCTAACTTCCATGTACACAACAGACTGTTCATCTGACATGAACAGTCTCATCTCACCTTTGTTTTTTTCTTTACACAAACTTATCAGCAAGAACACACCATTCAAAGCCTGGGTACATCTCTCTGACTTCACAGAACTTGTATGTATCTTTTCTACACCTTGGGAAGTGCCCTGCTGGCTTATAACATTACCTACAAAGCTCATATAACTGTGCTTGATATCCAGTCTGAACTCCAGTAACGTAACTTGAAATTTCAACTTCCTACTGCGTACATGAAAACGAACCCCAAACCACAGAACTTACCTCTACAGAAAACGTTAAGTTACTTTCCTGAAATATCATTGACAGCCTAAAAGCACATCCCCAGCAGCACTGGATAAGGCTGCCTGCTAAAGGAGTGCTTTCTGGCTTTAGAAACACTATATAAATAAATGCACTGCACATTCCCCCTACCCACCATGGTGGAAATAAGGATGTGGGAGGCAGAAACCCCTCGAAAGGAAGTGAATGACAACATATGAGAAGCACACAAAACCCATGCTGTATAATAACAGAAGAAGCAGAAAAAAAAAAGAAAGTATTATAGCAACACAACTCAAGCCCCAGAGATGCTCTACATATATTTTCGTGAGAAAACTGTTCTGATAACGCTAACATCAGCATTATCAGGTCCTCAGCAAGAAAATGCATACTCGGTAGGAAAAAAATGCCTCACTTCGGTTTTGAGCAGAGCAAGCATTACCAAGTAGGCTCCTAACGAGCTGTTTAAAGGCAAGAGCCAGACTAAGCAATGTGTTCGCCCCCATCAGGCCTACCGAACAGCCCCCGCTGAGGCAAAGCCAGCGGGCACCGGGTGAGCAATGGGCCCGCCGCTGCCACCCCCGCTACTCGCGGCCACGCAGCTGACAGGAGCCCAGCTCCCTTCCTCCCCCCTCCGCCGCCCCGGCGAGGATGGGGCTGCCCCCACGCACCCCGAAGCCCCAGGGAGGAC